TATAGATATACTATTTGGTCTTATCTGTATAAAAATATATTTAGTTTTCGTATATGTATATCGATTATATATGCTTCTATTATATACAATATATATGAATATTTATCTTACAAGTTCATGGTATAATTAAATGTGTAACTTAAATTAATTATATTCATATATACTGAATATAATAGAATATAATATATAGATATATATATATATATACATATTACATACAACGATACATTCCGAATATGCAACGATTACATACCAATACATGGTGGTCCAAAAGAATCTTATCATACACTCTAAACAACATTCAGGGTCTAATTATTTCCAACAAATTACGTTAATAATCACTTCGTCGACACGTCCGAATATTTTACATAAATGCAACTTCCTTATACTCCCCGCGTTCCGTGGTTGTTTAATAAGCCGACCGAACAAGCGACAAAATAATCTTCTCGTTACGGAAAGTTCGTTCCCATTGCTCTACCCAGACGCTTCACGGCGGAAAATTACATTTTCTTTCCGCGAATTTCTTATTCGATTCCGCCCCGACGCGGGTAATGCATATCGCGGACAGAACTATTACATTACTCGATCGCAATTTGACTTCAAAGGGCTCGAGGTAATACTCGTTGACAAAAGCCTTTGCCCGGAGCACCGGCTACAAATGGAATTAAAGGACGCCTAAAAGGATAATCCCCCGCGCATCGGCGTAGAGACCTGGGGCAAAAACATCCCCCGCCCCCTCTGCCCACCTCGTCCCTTCCGGGGCCCTGAATCGCAATTCGACGCTTCTTTACGGCGCCGCTAAATTAATTAGTCTCGCTTTAACTAAAGGGATAACTCCTTGGTTTCCGTAGCCCTCCGCGTTAGAGCGCGGCTCAGCTTTCTTACGATGGAACAACAACGACGAAAGATTGTATTCCGCATGAACCCTCGTCAACCTTTTTACACCCGCTCCTTTGACCCCTTTTAACGCTTTACCCGACAATGGAACTCCTGGGTATCTGTAGCCTCAATTTTCAGATCGCTGGCGATTTGTCGTCACTCCTTGGACATTAATTTCCGAAGAGGTTGACGACATAATCATTTCATCGTCTTCGAGTAATTGAAGGCCTTACTATTAAGTAGTTGTTGGGAAAACAAATTTGCGGTAATTAGTTGAAATGTGCGTTTGCATTTTGAAGTATTTTACTGGTATCAAGGGTGTCGCGTCGTGATTAACGAGACTGTTTCACCAGTATAGAGTTCACTCCTTACGCACAAAACCTACCTGTACGTGAATCGGACAGCTTCGAGAAAATAAAACGGCACGGAATCTATTCCTCTCCTTTTCGTTAAATTAATTATTAACAATATTTGTTTAAAGAATGATAGAGAATATTATTTTGTTGTAATATTAACATGTCACTCAGACATTCTTTCTGCAAGGCTCAAAGGAACATTCCAATCAATCGTCATTCGTCAACCAATCCTCGTTCAACCTTTCTTCGTTTCATGCATCAGTAAGTACGATTTCGCCCGTAATTAAGTTCTTCGTGCAGTTAATAATCTGTCACACTTTACTTGTCATTCCTGATCCACACAAACAACCAAGAATAACAATACTTTTGGAATTATTTCAAATATAAATAAATATCATAAATTCTATGATATTCGTCCAAAATGTTTGGAAACAGATTTGAAAATAAGACTATATTCATTAGTTAACTTCTTTGATACCGTTTCCTCAGCAATGAAATCTTTTTCGTCATCTCCAACAAACATTCCGATCCCGTGAAAGGTAAAACCGTGAGGCTGACTGTCAATAAAAGGTCAATTTCATTACGCTTAAATTCGCCAAACTTTTCGTCGCATGCGAATCTACATACATCCCTATAAACTCGAGGCAACCAATTCATTTGATCTCGTAAAAGAACTTCCTACTCGCGCAAATGTCTCTCTGTCCACCTTTAAAAATTTTGATTTCAAAATTCTTGTTAGCTTAAAGCGTTGAAACTCACTCCATTAAAACTTCCTCAATTCCAAGTCTGCAGTAATAGAGGGAGATTATAAAAATATATCTACATAATTATTTAAGAATTATTTTAATTTTGTCTCCATGAATACCAGAAGCAATTGTGTTTCTTCAGTATGATAAACACTATTGATAGATGAGGTACGTGACGCAGTTAATATAATTATGTACTCGTCATTAAAGGCATATCTTTTGCTAAAAGCCTTTAAATTGTCAATATTGCATGTTATTCATATCGCTAAATCTGGCACGATCAGAAAATTTTTCAACGTAGAAAGTTTTCGTTTATCACATCTTTTGACGGCATTCGCTATAAATGAAAACCATATCAACTTGTTTTGTTTTCGTACATTAAATTCTAAGGCTAAGCAAATGGGAAACTCGAGATTTTTGTTGGAGTTCTGTGGACGAACCAGTGCTAGGTTAACAGCGGGAGCTCCTGGGTAAAATGGAATGGTTTAGGTAAGCTTCGTAACTTTATAACACAATATACTCGGAGCCGGAAAAGTACATCAACGTGAGTCCTTTCTAGCTATTGTTGCTCGTAATTTAGTTACAGATGATGTTCCTTGAATTACTTCCACTCGTAGTAAGTGTAATGCGTTCAAGTAATTTAGTTAGGACGTTACAAGTGATTACTTCTTTTTTATCATATTTTCAGGGTGATATGTTAGATACATAATCTCTAAATAGTAAGAAATACTTTTATCCAAATCAAATGACAATAGTAGTATTGCATAATATGTATCTAACTCATTGACAGTATATAAAGAGAGACTACGAAAAGCGTAACTATATACAGCGAGATTATGCAAAATGGGACTATACAAAACGAAGCATTGTAAACTGTAGATACATAAGCAATTATCCATAAGATGAAATTAATATATAAAGTGTGACTACGCAAAGGGAGACTACGTTAATTGAAATTATACAAAGCAAAACTACGTTAAATCAAATTATATAAAGTAAAACATTTTAAACCAAAACAATGTAAAACGTGAGTACGTAAAGCGAGACTAGGTAAAATGAAATTACATGAAACGAAACTACATAAAATGAGACAGCGTATAAGACTATTTACAATAAGAGATGCATATATGCATTCGTATACGCCACTAAAACTGAGCAATATATTCACTCGTCAGTACTGAAATTGTAAACACAAGTGAAATTGGAAGTAGAAAAAAAATATACCTGAAACGTTTGATTGAAGCAAGGTACGATAATAGCTGTGGTTCGTATAAGCTGCGGAAAGTGGGTTGGTGAAAAGAAGGAACGACGGGGGTTGGTGGTCGCGCGTCACACAGAAGCCGTTGGCGGAGGAAAGGCACGCGCTCGGTATTTAGGAGAAGCAGTAACGTAACAATAGGCAAGTACACGGGTTGGAAACGGTAATGGTGTGTCGTGGTTCGCCCGAGCTTACTTTTATGTCCCGTCAGGGCAGCTCTTCACCCTCCGCACCGTTCGCTTTCACTCTTTCGCTCGGCTCACGCGCCATTTCTCCGTTCCTCTTTGCCCCTTCGCCCGGTGGTTCTCACTTATCCTCTCTGGCCTTGCCTCCTTTCATCGGGACGAGGCAGAGTGCAAGCAGCAAAGACTCGCTTTGTTGCCGGACACCTTTCTCTATTATTAAATGTTCTTCCAACCCTCTCGACGCGACGAGCGTCGCTTCGAGGATCCTCGGCGCGCGTGGTAGCGCGAAGTCGCGTCGCGTTTCGCGCTCGCGTGCCTCAAAAGAACCGAATTAATGAAACTATGGTTACGGAATCACTGGCCCACAAATCTTGGAGTTGAGAGGGGTAGCCATCTTGGACGCGTGAGAATCATACATTGCACTTGTGTGTGTGTTCCCTCCTCTATATTCGACAATTTTTTTTTTCGAAAACAAGTAACTTAACAGAAGATCTGGTCGATAGGGTTTATTATACATATTTTGAATAATAAAAACATAATTTTCGTTTAGGTTTTTTAAATAAAATAGCGATACTGAGGAAATGTGTAGAGGTCAAATTATTAGATTATGTAGGATACTGCATTCCAATGGACATTTCTTTTATAAACCGTTAAAATTTGACGTATAACTTATTTTATAATTGCAAGCCTATTTGCAATTTTGTGTATTAAGTGAATGTTTCGAATTCGACTCTTCTTCAGTTTTTATTTAGAATACTTATACACACGATTTTATTTAGGTAATAAGGTAGGCCACGTATTATAATCAATCTACGTGATCCTTTAAAATTAACTTGAATTAATATTTTAAATCAAAATATGATATACATATTTATAAGGAAGTAGCTAGAATCATTTTTACTCAAAATTTCTTCATAATAAAGAACAAAATTCTTTCTTTATAGGAAGAAACTTTATATTCAATACATTTAAATTCCTGTTTTTATAATAATTCATTTTGTAAATGCATACGTAAATGCACGTTTTTCTCTCAGTGTTTGTAATTTCTACCACTTAATTATTCGTGATTATACATAAGGGTGTTCATCCATTAAATATATAAATAAATTGAATAAATAAATAAAACATTACAAATTAAGTGGGTGGTAAGTAGTATCGGCACGTTCGTTTATGGGAACTGTTAATTAGCGAGCGAATGTATGTATGATTTACAATGTTAAATAATGAATAAATATTAAGTGAATTGCAACCTTTGGCAGAAAATTTTGTTGAAATTTATATCTATTAAAATAAACGCCATTTGTTCAAAGGCTTGACTAAATTATGCACATAGTTACGTTGAACAGTGGAGAAGGCGAAACGGAAAGGCAAAAATAGTGTTGAAGTATAAATTATTTAAAAGCAAATGGAAGAATAATTGAGTCTTTTCCAGGAATACGCTTTTGTTGAACTTTCAGAGAAAAATACCATGTCTTGTGACATAAAAAGAGGCAAGAACGTCAGTGTCCTTGCGAAACATCGATTTTCTTTTCGACAGTAATTTTAACGGCGCAAAGGTAATGAAAAATGTACTTACAATCGACGGAGACTTTGATCTGCTTGCTCACAGTTGGAGGAACCCCGTTTGTTGCGATGCATAAGTAAACACCCATGTCTAGTCTCGAGATGCGCGTAATTTCCAACGTCTCGCCTTTCCACTCTGACACTGAAACAAAAAGCACCATTTCAGCGCAACTGTTACTTTTCTTTACAGTATTTATTACTATTTTTAATTGTTCTCTGCGAAAGACGCGTCGAATTAAAAGATAACAATTCTACGATATTCAAGTGTCACCAGATGATATTGTAACTGACGGATTCACGATCTCAAAAGGTATAACTGGATGGAAAATGATCAAAAATGAATGGTCAAGAATATAATAATTAAATTTAATTTAACCTTTCGCCCATTTAATATTCGTTGACAATTTTAAGGATTAATTAGCTGTCCATTTCTTGCCCCTATTTTAAGAGGTTACAAGAAGGTCAAAAAAGAGGACGTATTAGAGAATTTTCTTGTCTACGATTTTTATTTTATTGATTTTATTGATTTTATTCGATCATTTGTAGAAAATAATTGTACATATATTCTAATAAGCATAGAGATTAAATATATTTATAAAGAAAATTCTCAAACAAGTCCCTAGTTTTATCATTTCCATATGTTATATAGTCTATCAAATTTCGGACACGAGTAATATTCTGTAATTTCGTATAATCCGTCGAGTTACTCACGCCACCGATTAAACTTGAATACTTAATTTCGTGTAAATCGAGGACGGTAAATCTCTGATTCAATTCACGCTTCAATTTCTGCGCATTCAACATTCAAAGACTCGCCTCGTGTTTTTTCACGGTCTTTAACGTTACACCATCCCTTATTTATCTGTATAAATTAGTGCCGCGACCCATTAACGCACCCGGCAAAAAAGAACTCCCAACATATCTCATTTTTTCGAATTCCGTAGGGTTAAGATAATTACGCGCTGCAGAAATTTTTTTAACCGGTTGTCGTTAACGACATCGAACACGTGCACTAGAGAGCGTTTCCTGAATCTCTGAAAATGCTTGCCCCGTTAATGAGAAACGCTTTCTTCGGTAGTTTCTCCATATATGCATACATCTATTTTTTGAATTATTTCTTGTTTAAACGTACCGACGCGTACGTCTTTTTTATTTCTTCTGTCGTCAGCAACCCTTCAGCTCTGTCAATGACAGCGGTAACGCAGTTTTTCAGAGCAGCACGTTTGATCTTCGGACAGAAGTCAGACGAATATCATTATTTTTAATTGCCGCGCGCCTCGTGCGCGCCGAATCTATCGGAATCCGGTCACGGATCGACGTCAGACGTATTTCAAGGAAGACTGCAAAGGTGCAGGTACATTTTCGTTTCTCAGCCATCGTTGAGAGGAGAGTCGTCCTTTGATTCGTACGATGTAAATAAGAACGTTATGGAACAGAGGGATGACACTTAACGCGCGAAAAGCTTGTCAAAAGTACAGTAGTGTGTTCAGAATGCAGGGAAACGCGAACACGCGACGGTTTTATCGTCGATGATTTTTCGTTTTAAAGATCTTCTGATGCTTCTTGTATCGGTGAATTAAAATTTGAGTTATTACTGGATGTAAAAAAATTGTTATACTGTGAAGCGTTTCGTAGTATTTTTCTCCTTTACATTTCAGTTTATTAGGGTCGTTCTTAAAAGCGATGAAGTATATTATGAATGTAAATAATTGTGATAAGATTAAGATAACCGAAATTCAAGTAATCATAACAAACTAGAATTTTCTACAAAATTAATACATCATTGTTAATTAGTTTATGTGACACGGATAAGCAGCATCCATGATTTTATTTAAATTAATACTTGTTAAAATGAATTGAACATGCATGCTAATAAGCATAGAGAATAAATGTATTTATAAAGAAGAGAATTCAAATCATTGTTATAAAAAGTAACTGAAATACTGTAATGTTTTACTATAAACATTTATAACACTATGAATTTTCGTTGTATTATATCTCATCTTATTTTGCATTAATGTTATACATTGTGATTCTGAAGAGTACATACTAAAATAAATTGGATAAGAATATCTGTTCCTGCATTGCAGCAGGAATTATTATTTATATTTTTCAAAAATTCTGTTCAAACTACAACTAGTACTTGTACTGTCCTCATTGGCAATTATAATGTACTAACTTTATTTTTTCAATTTCTATCCAAAATACTTAAAAAGAATTTATAATATTAAAAAAGTTCCATACTTATATCGATCTCTGCTTTTACGGTGTAATATAGCTTTTAATAAACTTTCAATTTTTATCATTAAAAACTTCATTTGGAACCTATGTCCTGTTATAACTCGGTTATTAATTTTCAAAAATAATAACTTCGTACAGTCGTTTCTAATGTTTTGAGTAAAAGAGGTTATTGCCTTTTTGAGCTAGTAAAAAGTAATAAAAATAAATTAAAGCAAATATCAAACAAAGTATCGTCGATTCGTATGTTTATGTTGAATGTTATATTCATATTCTTCTTGGTAATGTTTATATATCTCAAGGTTTTTATGTAATTGTCTCTTACACTTTTTATTACAGTATCAATAATGTGTATTATCAAATTTTATACTTAAATAAATTTATTTACTCACCAGATAACGTCTTATTTATTGTAATTTTTGAGCCGTCGTCTCTTTTCCAGCTTATAGTTGGTTTCGGACTTCCTGTCGCTTTGCACGTCAAGCTCACGTTGGAATTCTCTCGTATAATGACATCCGATGAAGTCTGGTAGTCCTCTATGTTTGGAGGCACTGAAAACGAAAAGATACATTTTTATAATGATTGCTTTTGGTTATAAGCAAAAATTAAAACGGGATACATGATCAACAACGGAGGCAATACAAATATATATTATATATATTTAACACTTTATTTTCTGGAGACTCAATTATAGATTTCCTCTATTGTTTACATAACGATATTTATTGACTGTATTGCCGATATACGAGGTTTTAGGTATATTGAGTCTAATATTAATATTCATACACAATAATACTTTATACTGCATTCTATATATCTAATTATAATTCAATTAGAGTACTTTTTGTATTGTTTTTCATTTCAAATTAAATATACGAAATAATTAAAAATTTTTATTTTCCCTAAACAGAATGTACATTCTAATATAGTATATAACAAGTATTTTAACGTAATTATAATCAGATGTGCATTGGAATAATAAAGTAGCGTTTAAATAATAATACAATCTTTGACCTTAATAACAGTATACAGATATTAATGTCATCCTGAATTAATATATTTACTAACGTACAAAGTTCTTTTTTAATTAGAAATAGCAAATTATTTTTAAATATGCCAGTAGTTACAATGGTAAAATTAGAAATAGCTATCTAACTGAACCTTGTCTCTTCTGTACAATCATTAAGATATTATTTTAAGGGTAAACAAATAAGTACATCCTTCAAATCATATATTTTGGATACTCGTGCGATGAATATATATATATTATTTTTATTTATTTTTATATATATATATATAGTATGCCTTATTCAAAGCCAGTCGAATCCCTGTCTATCGATTACTTTCTACTGGTACATAGAATTTAGGAACGTTATCTTCATCTCGTGACTGAAATACATACGTCATGGCGACTAGAGAGGATTTCAGACTAGTACCGCCGAGCGATTAGTTTTATTTATATGGTTCTTATTCATGATGCAGGATGTTGTAAAAGGAAACATAAATACATCGTCAGGTGATTCTAGAGCTCGTTTCAAGTGAAGAATGGTACACCGTTGGATAACTTAATCTGATTCTCAATGATCACTAAATTATTGATAACGTGATCAGTGAGCATGCAGCTAGTGTGTAAGAAAACCTGCACTTCTCTCTCCAGTATTATCGTGGTTATTGAGAGTATTTAGACAAACCAGCGAATTTGTTTTCGTTCTTTTTTTCTATAGTTTAATACCTTCTGAATTTTTACCTTCTTTTACCTCACACATAAGTTCCTATTTCTGTACTTGTTTGTTGCTGTTTCCTAAATACATGTCTATTTTTATTCGACTCAATACAAAATTATATTCTTCCTTATTCTGTACATTGATGTTTAATGACATCGACCCTTTGCTACCTCTCCCCTATTAGGGTCGAATTAGGGGATGTGATACTTTGAATGATACCCTTATTAAATTCTTCAGCCTTAAATATGTGTGTCAAGGTTTGATATGCACACTTCCCGATGAATTCTTTATCAGACTCAGGACACAACTTGTTCCGTCCACAGCGCGATTCCTTACAAGAGAATCTCTGGGATTGTAAGGCCTGTTACCCTTAATTGAAGAGACTCTGTGGTTTCGACACGTCACGCGCCAAATTAATATTGCGTGACTGATTCAAACGACTAAAATATTGGATTCTTTGGACAGTCCATGTCGATTTTTAGTAGGTGGTCCAAGTCTGAATATATCGGAATGGTTGAAAACAAATAACATCTATCTACCCATCCTTTAACCTCTTTTGGGACGATTTTTCTTCACGCTTATATCTCTATGCATCGGAAATAACATCATCAGTGCAGCCGAACCATAACATTTTTACTCCTCTTGTTGAGGGATTCTGTAGTAAATAAGTTATTCTCAAATTTTTTTATTATTGATAGTAATTATATTTATAAAAACCTAAACGTCCACATCTGTGATCAAGGGCGTAAAGAGGTTAAAAAGTAGAAAGGCTGTGGAACAAAATGGTACCTATGTAATTCAATAAATATATATCAAAATTCAAATATGCCTCTGAGTTTATCTTAAAAATTAACACGAACTTTTTGGACAACCCAATACCACTAATCTCGAACGATAGATTGTAGATGATAACGGTCTCGAACGTTAAACAGGAAATTTGAGTGGACACAACTACACACCTTTCCCTACCTCCCTTCCACTAGGTAATAATTTATCTATTTGAATAATAATTTGTATTGTAGGTATCTAGCCCTCAGAAGTGTGTACCAAAATCGACCTCCATATCCTTCCTCCTGTCTCTACCTTCTACCTCTTCTCCAAAGCCACTAAACCTTACCCGAAACAACCAATCGGTTTCCCTCAATGTTCGCCAAGAAATGGTCAGCAACAGTCCATTTTTAGCAAAGAACCATTCGAGATCACTCGAAGCGCGCCAACGACGACTGCAATCGCGCAAAAGAGCATCTGCTGAAAGAACGAACGCGTCAGTCGGATCCGACAGCGGTCACAATAATAAAATTTGCATGACACAGGGCCAGCCTCGAGTGGACCTCGGTCGAGAACGCTTCAAGAAACGGACCAACCCCTAAAGGGCGAGAGCAGACCGTCGGCCTGAATGGCATTCTTTCACATGCAAATCGAATTCAAACTTAAAGGTAGAAGAAAAAAAAGAAGGCGGAAGGAGCCTCGGTTCGACGAGGTCGCAAAGGGGTTGACGACGATAGTTCCAGAGACAGAGGGAATCCAGTTACAAGCACGGAAACGTTCGAAAGCGGTCTCCGAGGGTGGCAGGAGCATCCAGAAGGGCAAAGGAAACGAGAACTGCGGACAGATAAAGCGCGGGGGGGAGGAAATCCCCGTTAAAAAGTCGTAATCACTGACGATAAGAGGCCTTTTCCGCGGGGAAAGAAATGTCCTCGTCGAGAGCACTGTTGCCTCGGGCCTGGAGGAGGATGAAGAGGATTTAAGCAGGAAACTTTTGGCTCATTTTCGTGTACAGAACGCGGGATTTACCACTGACTGGTGGATCTTTGGTTACTGATCCGGTTTGAGAAATCTTTTGACTTTTGAATGCAGCGAGTTACCGACTTTTCTGCGAGGATACATCGATATCTTACGCTTTACGAGATCATTCAATGATCTTCTTTTAACCCTTTGAGTGCCAGAGAAAATTTTCAGACATATTCAAGAAATGTCAAACAATTTTAAACAAAGATACATAATTGTAAACAAAACAGTACGATTCGATCAATTTTGTTTTGAGGTTCATGAAATTTTTACATAATACTAAAAAAATATATTTTTTGCGTAGCGTAGCAGTCATGTATTCTGGAAAGTTCGCATGGATACTGGAAAGTTTGCCACGATTGTTGGGTAATTACCTAAGTGTAAACATGGAGTCTAAAGAAGACACCAGCCGATCAGCCGTTACAAATTACATGCATTACGTAAAGCAAGATTGATTTCTTAATGAGTTACAGCACTTGTAATACATCAGATACATTCCAAACCAATTGTGTTTTAATAAAAAAACAAGGTCCTAAAGCTATCGTTTGGAGAACTTTCCGATTTTACAATTGTACAACGTGGCCCCATTGCGAATCCTAAAAAATGACATGCAACAAAAGATTCCTCAAACTTGGTTTATGAAATAATTTCGCAGGGATAATGCTCTCCCTTTTCTGCCCTCCCACTTCTCGGTAATTACTAAATCGGATGAGCGGGGGATTACACGCAAAACCCAGTGATCTCATAATAACTGTTCAAAAATCGTGGCCTCCGTTGTACCAAATGCTGATTACAAAAGATGCGAGCGGCTTGTTGAAGGCAAACGTGACAACGTGAAATCGATTTCGCGGTTACGAAACCATCACGAGTAATTCAAACGACGTTAGCGTGAGTGACCATAACGAAACCTCGAGCAAATTCAATTTCAAAATGACTCGCCGTTGGATATCATCGAAATAAGCCTGCGATGTTCAGAGCTATCTTTAGTAAGCATACTAATTACGTGTCAGTGATTATGAAAGTGGTCTGTCATTTGAGGTTCTGGAAACCATTCTTTATCAGATTTAAGTAGGCAATTTTACAACAGATACTGTTGTACTTTCATACTGTAAGAAAAAATATTATATATTATAGTATCTTTTTAACCGACACGAATGCAAAAATCTAAATATCTTTAAACAATTAAAAATATTAAATTAAAACCAGTATAAAATGAGAGTTTCATATTAGAGATTGAATAGATCACTTATTAAATAATATTAATAAACGAATTACGTTATATGTATCGAGAAAAAAATTAAATTATAAACCTTTAGAAACGGAACTTAAAAAATACGATATTGAAATTTCATCAGCTGTTCTGTTATATCATAATTTCGACGACAGAAAGATGATCAGATTAAAATCAAACTGAAGAACATAGGAGGGATTTAATAAGTACAATACACTCTTGTAAACGCATAAACGTTATGAATTATTAATAACACGTGGCGCATTCACAATTCAATAAATCTCAGTTTGCAGAACATTAATATTTATCCGCTGCAGGTTTTACACACGCGATGCGTGCTAACGAATAAACGCAGGCCAATTAACAATTATCCGGTTGATTTATTAAGGGTGCAAAGTTTTCATTTGGAACGCACTCAACGTGGCGAAAACATATTTCGCAGATCATTCCGATTACGCGATGAATACACATTCCAACCCTCAAGAGATTATGCACAATGGAACGTTCGAAAAGAAGGTTCAATTCTATAAATTTGTTACAATGGATTATTGCGTGTAAACTGTTTTATATCAGTAGAAACTGTAGTTTACAAACAGCTTAAAGAGAGATGTTTAAAGAAGTTTGAAAAATAATTAAGATGATAAATTCCTTCTTTCCTAAACCAATGAAAGAACTGAGCTACAAATTCGTATGGAAACTTCTCTCAGGAGAAACTGGTGTACGTATGAAATAGATTTTATTTCAGAAATGTAATGAAATAATTATATTTCGTGTGCTACCATTAAAACTGCGAAAATAGTTAATTGCA